GGTTCAATGATTTGAAATGAGACATTTGAGAAATAGATTGCTTTATCACCACCACTGTTGACATTGTTGCTATTATCAGTAGTACTCTAATTTCTCTATATTGTTACTGCGACTATAACTTGGTTATACGATTTGAAACGAATCGACTATGTTAATTCGACGATTTCTGCCTTATTCGAAGAGTAAACTATATGTGTACGATAACTGGTGGAATAATTTCCATGCAGTTGCATGCATGCCATCTTCGATAGTAGATATCAGACATTCTACGTCAATATGATCTTTAAGTCTTAATATTAAAATTATCGACCTGTAATGTATTAAATACAGTGCATTTGGATAAAATTAATTAAAATTACACAAGGAAAGTAAATACGTACATGTAATAAAATAAACAAAATAATTAAACGTATAATTAAACACCTTATTTATATAAAATTAAATTACAATGTTTAAAACAAATTGAAAAGTTAATAAGAAAATCAACAATAATTTTGTAAAAGCAGCTGTATATTTTTAGTAATTAAAGAAAATAAGAAATCTGAAATCAATTAATTTAACCTTTTTGATAGTTCCAGTGTTAATAATAGTCTTTGAGAAAGAGGATATAGATTTTAAAGGGTAATAGATTTTTATAATATTCCAATAATATTAATTTTTAGTCCATGAACTATTTTATATATACATTGTATTATGTAAAAGACATAACATTACGATATTTGTTGCTGTACACGTGAGAAAAAATAGACACGTTATCACGCCATATGAAGGAAATAGTATTGCTCTGATCTAATTTCAAGAAATTCTCAATTATCTTTTTATTATTTATTATTCTTATCGTATTATATCTTGCGGGACTCGTACGTTTTAAAATTGATAACATCAGTGTATGTTTGCAATTGGGTAAAAAGCTTCTGCACTTTTTCAATTAACGTCTTACGAGAACGAGTCATCCATTGCCATTGTCCAGATTAAGTGCGATTAAACAAAATTTACTTCTTTAAGTAAACATACAATACAAATGAAATAGTAAGAACATAAATAAGAATAATATAAATACAAATATTGATAGGAAAATTAAGTGATAATACAGAAACAAATATAAAATAATACAATAATATAAATAAAAATAAATTCCTGTAAAGAAAATTCAAATAATAAGAGGTTTATAATTTTTGAAAATATTTTGATGTATTTAAGGACAAATGAAATTTAATTCGTAAAAATGTTTGAAGCTGAAGTCCAGTTTTTTAAACAATAGTGTCTCAAAGTGATATTTAAATCAGGTAAATTATTCGTTATTAGTTTGTGTAGCGACGGTACGTGGATTAATTAACGTGACCGCTAAGAATATTTTTTGCCAATGGTTTAAATTACTTGCGGTATAAACTAGCTGCGGTTTGAAAGCAAATTTATTTTTGCATCGTAAATATACTTCGATCACAATCGGTGTTTCTACTCATTTAACAGCGTTCACCCCGAACTGCAGATAAATCGAGATAATCGAAAACCAATGATTTCAAAATGATGCAAAGATTTTCAGATTTGTAAATTTTTATTTTTTCACAACGAATAATAACATTTAAATGGATCCAATTATTATAGAGTATTTAAATTGACTCGTATTTATCGAAAAATTTGTAAAAAAATATTTCTTTATGATATAACAATATTAATTGGAATATTATAAAATGTCTAAAGTAATTAATAGTTTTTGATAGAAAAATGTAACTTCGTTTGGGAAATAATAATATCATATCAATAAATATAATAATCAAATATATCAACATTATCATTAATTATTATTATTATCAATATAATAATTAAAATTAAATAATAATATCAATTTAAGTATCATAAAGTATTCAAAGTATTAATGTTCCTTTAAGATTTAATACGAATTTAAATACAAAATATTTTAGGTAATTTGAAAAAAATTTTAATTCTTTCAAAAAGGTAATAATATTCATTTAAATATTTCAGTCAGATAATAACAAATTAAATATTCCAATGTAATTAAACCAATTAAAACACAGAACATTGATATTCAGGAAAAGCTAAAACAGAAACAATTCTTTAAGTAGCGATATTATCAATTTTTATATCGTAAAGCACTCGAAATAATTAGTAATATATTTTAAAAAGTTCTGTAAAAGAAAGATTCTTGTAGAAGGTAAAAATATCCACCAGAATCCTATGAGATATCTAAAGTAATTAGTAACAGTTTCTCATAGAGAATACTGTAAAAATAATTAATTAGACAAGAGAAATATTAATATCGTCTGTACTGTTAAACATGTGTACATTAAAATAGAGATATGTATAAATGTCTAAATCACATTAATGTCAACGTGTACTTAATATTTCCCATAAAGACAATCTATCGCGTGTCAAAGACCGTATGTATTGTATTTTATCACTTGGAAACGTGATAAACGTATCCAGAACGCGTTAATTATGTTACTAAAAGCTCCGAGAAACTCAATTTTATTGACAACACACCCAGAAAATTATTCACTTAAAACTTGCTATCCAATACCATACTCCAATCATTGAACTTTTAATTACTCTGATATAATGTTTTCTTTTTAATTAAACAAATTTTTCATTTTAAATTTCAACTTTTATTTTATTCTAGTTTTGAAGTTTAATTTATGTTTCGATTAATTAAATTTTAATTGGTTAAATTAAAGTTTGAATTAAACTTAATTCTAAAATAATTTGAACAGCCATCTTTTCCAATTTTTTTTAGTTTAAATTTTTACTTCAACTATATTCTACTAGAATTTTTAATTTTAATTCTTTATAAATGAATTTAGCTTGTTTCAAACAGCATTAGAATAGTTTCTCTTTTTGAACCTTCATTTTCGTCAAAAATCTTTATTTCTATTTTATTTTACCGTATTTTTAAATTCATATTTCTGTTCAAATACTATCAACTTACTGCAAACCGTTGAAACAGCCTTGGAATATTTCGGTAATGAAGAATACAATACGGTACATTGTTATTCGATTACCTACGCATATCATCATTAATAATGGCAAACAGACTTGCACGAAATGATGTATATTTAAATATCAAAATATATAAAATTTGCAAATAATCCTGAAATGAAACACAACATATGTGTAAATGTGGAAAACTGGGCTTTTCAGAAAATAAATCCGTAAAATAAATATTACACGCTGGAGGGGATATTCGTATCTTATGAACGCGATAACGCACTTTATATAGGGTGAAGCAAATATTATAGTGTTGTATCATTGATTTTCTCCGCTACTTTACAAATCTTAAAATATGTGCAGCTTGCAGTCTGTGTGCGCCTTATCGGCTGCAACCATATCTATTCAGTGAAAATTGTAGCGCATACTTTAGGATCAGAGAAAAGTATCACTTCGTCTTGTGTTTCCAGTGAAATGGAGGTGAAATATATTATTTTAAGTCTCAGATTATTTGAAGTATAAATTTGAAAATTGTTATAATTAGTATCCAAAATTATGTGTACGTTTGCTGGAGAAAATAGAAGAAGATCATACAGCGTTCACGAAGTGGATTTATTTGAAATATTTGGTCGTGCAAATATTTATGACAAGGACATATCGTGAGTATCAGAGAGTGTGTTAGAAAATAATGTTTAGAAAGAATGTATGAGCAGTTATTATTATATATTATATATAAAGAACTATGTGAAGAAAATTCGTTTAAAAGTAGGCAATTTATTTCCATGATATAATAGTTCTGATTGCTCAGTTCCTTATTCCAATTTTTATTTTCTTTTTTAATTGGAAGCTTAATATCACATATATCTTTTGTGATTATTAATTATTTTTTGAATCGAAATATAAATTTTAATATAATTTAATTTAATGCAATGTTCTTTTAATATAAAGAATAACTTTTTACTGTAAAATTCATTTTAATTGATTTGAGTAATACTCAAGCAGTTTTCTAAATGAAATATATGAATTTACACAATTTTCCTTCCTTTTCGTTCTGAATAAAAAAATGAAATATAGAATTTTATTTCATTGATAATTTTCCACGTGAAATTTTGAAGCTTTAAAGCTTTAAAGATATTTAAATTTGCAAAATTTTACTCAGGTGACTATTATTCCTCCATTGTTATAACTAAATATTCTTGAATGAAATAATACATATAATAACAAGTCAACGAATATTTAACAGAAATGTTATTATAATATTTCTTGCTATCTCATTAAAAATATCGCTAAATAATATTAATATTTAACACTAGAATTGATAATGTATACTTAAATACGTATAACTTTGTATATAGTTACGTTTCTATTTAAATATAAAGATAATTTCTTTTAAATATTTGCACATTTTCTATAACTGTAAATATAAACTATCTAAAACCAGCCATTTTGTCTCAGTCAATAGTATTAAATAATAAAAACGAGTAATTGTTATATCAAATTGTATTTTACTTCCCAAATTAATAATTTTCTGATTTTCTAGCATCCAAAATTATTTTCTAAATTGACCAAAATTTTATCAAAAGCAACTACGTCTGTAATAACCACAGAAATAATACCTGTAATCAGTCATTGCAATAGGTTTAGTAATTCCGGTATTAACGCATTCATGTTCAATATTCACACTTACAACGTTATAATATTAATATCTCTCAAATCATGAATGAATTTTCGACTGTTAATTAAAATAAAGCTGCAAATTTCGAAACACGGAATCGGAGTAGTGTTACCTATAAAAGAAAATAACACGTTAGAATATTGTTATTATTTCCTTGTTATTATCTCGCGATTTAATCACTTCTTCACGTAGGTGTTGCAAGATTCCATTTACGATCTGATTTTTTCTTCTCAGGTGATTTCCTAATTCCAGATGCTGCGGTAGCAATATTTCATTCTCATTAAGGATAGGTACTTAGTACGATGACATTGTGTACATAGATAAGAAATTCTTTGAAATCGTTTGTACCCTGTTCCGTTCAGTCAAAAATCATCCAGCCGACTGTCACAGACTGTAGGAAATTTATTAATCGTAGCAAGAAGCATTTGACTTTTGAAAGAAGCTGAGAACTTCCAGCTGGTAAGATCCTCGCTTATGCATCGAAATTTCTCCAGTATCTTAACAATTCCTCGATCGTGTTAATGTTAATAATTCGAACGAAAATGCTTCGTTTTATTTTTGAAATAAGAAGTGTGAATTTTTGGTTGTCATCAAATGTTCTAAGCTGTCTTTGCCTCGAAGTAATTACGCAATGGCGGCAATTTTAAGGACCTTCGATCTTTGCTGCATGAAAATTTCTCTGGGGTTTTAATATTATATCCTCGATCGTGTTCATGAGAAAAATGGTTAAAGAAAACATTGTTTTATTCATTATGAAGTGTAAATTTCTGATTATCGTTAAGTGTTTGAAACAGTTTTGATGTTAAGAATCAATTCTAGTTGCACAGTGGTAACCATTTGAAGAGGACACTTGCATATAAATTTTCAAGTTTTATAATTTTCGTGAACATTAAAGGGCAAATTTGTCAGTTTATTTTGATATACAGAATATTATAATTACTTTTACAATGGTTAATAATAATTAATTAGCTCTGAGAACATATTTTATAGTAATATAAAAATGTATATAAAAGTGTATTGTGAAACTACATATTACAATAATTTCTTGGATTTGTAGATTATATTCTTTTATAAAGTAGCATAAATAGCAGGTGAAGGTATTGTAAAAATTTTTTCCCCGAATACTGCATAAATCAAAGTTAATACTTGCTGTATATATTTAAAAACTTTCCTTTAATTACAATTACATAATTTTATAATTATAATATTTTATAATTGTATAATAAATTATATTTTAATATAATTTTATAATCGTTAAATTTTGATTATGAATATTAAATTTTTTAAACGTTATTAAGTACATGCTGGCCATTATGGAATTTATTAAAAATATTTTCAGTTTGCAAAAATTAATTGTAGACGTTTGTAAGGATTTGTGATAACGATATTCATAATTGGAAAGTTTTGTAGATGCTTAATGTTTGATTAATAATTTTGAATAGACGTATGCAGAAGCATAAAGGGAGTGGGAGGTGGTAAGGTGGATAAAAAGAAATGAAAGAAGTGTCTTATCAATTTAATATCGGAAATGTATATTTAATCAGATAAATAGTGTCAAAGGAATTGTCAAATCGTTCTGTGAAGCAATCAGTTCATGCAAATACGTTCGAAAATCAGAAGAGATCGTAAAATTCCATTGTGACTGTAAGTAAAGCTACTATTATGGATGTGTTGCAAGAGACATGTAATCGATGTCACTTTTATGACAACTCCTTTCTCTGTGCAAGCGGATGTGGTGATTGCAATCAAACTTTATTCCAATTTTTATTTATGTAAACATGTAGTTTCGATATTATGTTCATAAGACAATTTTCATTTTTTATTGAATCAAACGTGTGTGTTCAATATTATGTTTATAAAATGATTCTATTATTTTTTATTTTATTTATATATAGTATCAATATTATATTCAGAAGACAGTTTCATTATTTTTTATTTAATTAAATACGTAGTTTCAAAGATAATTTTATTACTTTTTGTTACATTAAAAATATAATTTTATAATACAGTTCTATTATCTTTTTAATTTATTAGATATATATTTATTTTATATATGTAGTGTTGACACTAAGTAACTTTTACGTTTTGTAAAACAATTCTACTATCTTTTTCAGAGGTACTAAATATCATTAGATTTAACTTATACCTCATGCTTGTAAATACGAGAAATATGAGAAAGTATAGTTTAGCTAATTTTTGCCAATTAATACATTAATATATTTTAGCTAATTATTTATCAATTAAATTATTTGTTTATTAATATTCCACTGTGTTTAAAACGTCAGCAATATGAACTAAAATAATTTCTATTGCTTAGGCCTAAGAAATTTGAAAGCAATTTCTGGTACTTGGAAGAAATTTTATTGATTAATATCGAAAGACGATGGTATCGAAAAATAATTTAAATGATTGCCAGTATGAATTAGATTTCTGTTATATGTGTAGACTCGATAAAAATATGACGTTAGTTAAGAATAATGGGACAGCAACAATGGAAACAACCACAAACATTTTTATCGAGGACGAGAGAAAACTTCAAAATAACGCATTATTGCCATATAAGGGAGAGGATGACGATGACGACGACGAAATTACATTAGAAGATTTGGCTCCAGATGGTGGTTGGGGGTGGATGGTTGCTTTTGCCATGACACTAGTATTTGTTAGTATTTATTATAATATAATAACGTTGTTCGTTTATTAACATTTTAATTTATTCATTACGATTTTTACTAACAATAGAGATAAAAAAATATAAATTAAGAATTAAACAATTAGTATTAAAATGATCAATTATTAATATTATATTAATATAATTATATACTTAATATAATTTATATAATTATATACTTAATA